CACTCAGGGTTTAATACAGGAGCTTAGCAGACGGGAAGTCAATGCAGCTTCAGGAGGCTGTGTGACAGTCTACGGTTTTTCCGTCCTGAAGTTGTTTGTCCAGACAAGGCTGTTTTCTCCTTAGAAACTGTCTTGCCCCAGCTATCTGGATGCAGGTCATAGCGGGAAATTGAGTTTGGCAATGGGAGGAATGGAGAAGGTGCTGGAGCTTCAACACAGGAGCTTGGTCAAAGTCTGGAAGAGTTTGTTCACAGTTTATTCTAAATACTATTATAACATTATGAGTTGAAACAGGATTTGTTCTATTCCTTCGAAGAATAAAACTGCTCTCCTGTTTCTAGAAAATGACTGCCTGCAACCGTAACAACAAACATCAGAGCTTGTTTGAAACTTTTTAAGTTATTCACTAATGGCTCCATGCAAGTATGCTGAAAGCCGTTTGTGCAAACCATTACACTGCAGTAAACACTTCTGCAGTTTGAGGTAAACCAGCCTCTAAGGACTCAACCTGGAAGGCCAACCCCTGATCTAAATATGAAACTTTCAACGTAGCCTCATGTACTGTGAACCTGGTTGCCAGCTGATGGAGTTTTCGGAAGTAATCAGATTTTTATGACCTTAACCTAATCGATGGATTAGTTCCTTTTGAGAGATGGCGTTGAATAAGAAGTGGGGCCTAGCTTAAGAAAGTAGAGCTATTCTTGTGGCTTACCTTAGCCAGTTCATGTGCTTCTCTTCTTTCTCCCCTTTTCTTCTCTCTCTCTCTCTCTCTCTCTCTGTCTGTCTGTCTGTCTCTCTCTCTCTGTCTCTCTCTCTCTGTCTCTCTCTCTGTGTGTCTCTCTCTCTCTGTCTCTCTCTTTCTCCCCTTCCTATTTACATTCTCCCATGATGCTCTATTCAAGCACATAGAGCCAATCAACCATGAACCAAACCCTCTGAAACTGTGAGTCAAAATAAATCATCTATCCCTTAAATTATTTCTGCTGGATATTTCTGTCACCACCATGGGAAAGGTAACTAATGCACCCACAGCCCTGTGCAATGGTTGCCGGTGGGGCTCAGGAGCAGACTGGGCCATACAGGACAACATCCTTATGTGTATGCTACTGTCCACAATCCACTTCCTGACAAAAGACCACTGACAAAAAGTGAATTATGGGAGAGGGGGTTTGTGTGAATGCACAGCTCCAGGTTTCGGGACATTGTTTTTGGGAAATCAAATTATCTGGAACTTTAAGCAGCTATTCATGTTCAGGTGAGATCAGAGAGAGCCATATCCTACTCAACTCACTTTCTCCACCCTTAGTCCAAGACCCAAACTCAGGGGATGGAACCGCCCACAGTGGGTTGGCTCTTCCTACATTAATTAATGTAATAAAGATGATCCCCCACAGATATGACCACAAGCCAGACTGATCTACAAGATCTCCCTCTCAGTGTGACATTTTCCCTGGGAGAGTCTAGACTCTGGCAAGTTGACCTTAGAACTAAACATCACAGAGAGTGATGAATCCAGTCGTATTTTAGATGCTGAATAATGGTACATAGTTCATATTTATTTCTGTATACTCAATGGCAATGTCCCTTTGTTTCACTTTTTATTGTAATAGAGTCTCCTTTCATCTTGGTTAGTCTGTCTAAATGTTGCTGTATCCAAATAGTCACCACAGGCTTTGTTTTCTGTTCTGTTTTAATTCTTTTTCAAGTATTCCTGTTCTCATTTTTGTGATTGTCTTGATTATTGCATATTTGAGTTTTTGTTTGCTTTGCCTTTCTAATTTCTTACAGTTAAAAGTTATGTAGTTTGATTTTTTTTCCCTTGAAAGTAAGCACGACTTTTGCTGTATCTCATAAGTTTTGGCAGACTGTTCCCATTTTCATTCCTCTTAAAATATTCTCTAATTTTCTTTGTGATCTCTCCTTTGATCCACCAACTGTTTCAGAATGTGTTGTCCAATACCCACATTTGAAGGTATAGCATTTAATAATTGAGATTTTTATTGCTTTAAAGATAACATACAAGTCTAAGCCTAATGGCACACATCTGTAGTCACAGCTACGTATGAGCTGAGCCAGGAAGACCATGATTTCAAGGCCAACTGGAGAGTCTTCATCTCAAAAAAAGAATCAGAAATACTGAACAAGTTATTTAAAACTTATGTTTCTTTTCTCTTTTTTTTTCTTGGTTTTTTAAGACAGGGTTTCCCTGTGTAGCTTTGGAGCCTGTCCTGAAACTCACTCTGTAGTCCAGGTTGACCTCAAACTCACAGAGATCTACCTGCCTCTGCCTCTCGAGTGCTGGGATTAATGGCGTGCAGCAACACCACCTGGAAAAACATACGTTTCTTAAAACAAAACAAAAAGTATTTGAAGAAATGGAGTTTTCAAAGGAGAGGCAAGATTCTAGTGGATACAAATCTGGAGGTATGTTTTGAGAAAACACGGGAGAGAATGAAAATTAAAGTGAATCATACTATTTGAAACACAAGAGAAAACACAGAGTAAGAATTTGACGTTAGTATTTTATTTGCTACCAAGAACGTACACTGAAGAAATGGTCTCGCTGTAAACATCATGACTGCGTGAGTTTAACAGCCAGATTTCCTTTACTGTGGCAAAACACCCAAGCTAATCAGTTCATAAGAAGAAAGGTCTATCCTTGGCTAACGGTTTCAGAGGCATCATGGGATGTCATGGAAACCAGGAGGTGAGAACTGGCTAGAATCAGTGGTTCAGAGGGCATGACTTTAAAGAGCAAACCATCAGTCTTTCTCGGTCACCCTCTGATTCCTGGCTTCCGTTGGATGAGCATCCGTGCTCCAGCATGTCTGCTTGCAACCATGATCTCCACCTCACCGTAGTCTCTATACAACGGAGCCAGCTGACATTGAATGTCTGAATGTCTGAAATTGTGAGTCGAAATAGATTTCCCCTACTTAAACTGTTTTCCTCAGGTATTTATCACAGAGATGGAATGTATGACATAGACTAAGTGTAGTCTCATGCCCAACAGTGATGTGAGATAGCCATTGTTGGAATACCTGGACCACAGACACACACAGACGCACAGATACAGACAGACAGACAGACAGACAGACAGACACACACACACACCTATGCATATAATATTCATTCTATCAGTTCTTTAGATCTCTGACTAATACACAGTCCCAGGCCAGGACTAAATGGTAGATGTAGGCAACATTGCCCATACTATCTGGGAAGTCTGTACCAGTTCCAGAAAGGGCAAGAGGAGGACGGTGATCCAGGCATGACTCCAGTGATCCAGTGCAGTGCTGGTCTGTTGGATCATGTGAATAATGAGAGTCACAAAGCAGCCGTGGGTCATGGCCACCAGGAGAAAGTCAAGAGAAACTGGAGTGAGAACATCTGCAGCTGTGCAAGCAGAGGAAGGGAAACCCAAGCATGACCCACCATCTTTAGAGGGCGATTTTCCCAGAGAGAATGCCTACCTCTGAGAAGCTGATGATAAAGAATTATGTGGATGTAAGCTGGAGATTAAAGGGTTTATTGAACTTACACTTCCATATCGCTGTTCATTATTGAAGGAAGTCAGGACAGCCACCCAAACAGGGCAGGAACCTGGAAGCAGGAGCAGAGGCTGAAGTCATGGAGGGGAGCTGCTTACTGGCTTGTTCCTCATGGTTTGCTCAGTCTACTTTCTGATAGAACCCAGGACCAGCAGCCAGGGATGGCTTCACCCACCTTGGGCTGGGCCTTCCCACATCAATCACTAATTAAGAAAATGCCTTACAGTTGGATCTTAGGAGGCATCTTCTCCACTGAGTTTCTCTCCTTTCAGACAACTCTAGCTTGTGTGTCAAATCGACATAAGACCAGCCAACACAGTGGGTTTACAGACTAGGCTCTGTCTGCAAGATCAAGCATTCCCCACCAGAAAGAATGGATAGATTAAAACCAAAATCAAGACTAGATGGTGGTACATGACTGTAATTCTAGTGCTTAGGAGGCTGAGGCAGGAGGATTAGCAAGTGGAGTGGGTGAGTGAGAAGTCCTCTGCTCCAATTCAGTTCTGCTGTTGAGTGAGTTCTTTTCATCCCTGTGACCAAAAAAGCAGCTCAAAGGAGTCTTTGTTGGGGCCAAAGGTCTCAGGGGTGTCAGCCTATCACTGCTGGGACCTCTGTGTTTGAGTAGAGCAGCATGGTGGGTGGCAGGAACATGGGACTTGACTTGAGTGCTTACCCTAAGGAGGACAAGAAAACTGGAGACACAGACTGGGAAACACATGTAACCTCCTCATCATTTACTCCTTTCAGCTAGGACCCACCTCCTGGTTTCAACATCTCCCAACATAGCATCACCAGCCAGTGTCCAAGCATCCAGGATGTGACCCTTTATTTGGTCATATTCAACCCATGATAGCCTTCTATAGTGGGTCAGAGCTGGGGGTCAGCAGATAGAACTAGGGAATCAGGATAAATCCTGAAACCAGAACAATCAGGGGATGCTTGAGGGCTTTGTGTAGACTACATGTCGTGTTCTTTCCAACCACCCCAGTATTGCTTTAGAATGTTACTTTAAGATGTGTTATATTTGTTGATGCTGTGGAACATTTGCTTTAATGATGCAAAGATGTGTTGCATTCTTTTGTGCTGCATTTGTTTACTTCTGTGAAACTGTGTTGCTTTGCCTGCCTAAAACACCTGATTGGTATAATTGGAGCTGAACAGCCAATAGCAAGGCAGGAGAAAGGATAGGTGGGGTTGGTAGGCAGAGAGAATATATAGAAGGAGAAAACCATTAGAGGGATCAGAAGAAGGAGCAAGAGAAAGAGGAGATGAGAACGCTAGGGGCCATCCACCCAGCCACAAAGTAAGAGTGAAAGTAAGATACACAGAAGTAAGAAAAGGAAAAAGTCCAGAGGCAAAAGGTAGATGGGATAATTTAAGTTAAGAAAAGCTGCCTAGAAATAAGCCAAGCTAAGGCCAGGCTTATATAAGTAAGAATAAGTTTCCATGTCACTTATTTGGGAGCTGGGTGGTGGGCACCCCAGAAGAGCCAAAAAAAAAAACCCAATAAAACTCAACAACACAACGCTTTCTGTGTGCATGTTGGAGGAGTGTGTGTGTGTGTGTGTGTGTGTGTGTGTGTGTGTGTGTGTGTGTATGCATGTGTATACACATGGGAGGCTATGGGTTAATGATGGGCATCTTCCACGATTGCTCTCCACCTTAGTTTTTGAGACAGGGTCTCTCACTGAACCTAGAGCTCACGGGTTAGGCTAGACTGGCTGGCCAGCAAGTTCCAGGGACCTCCTGGCCCCACCTCCACCATGCACTGAATGACTTTTCACATGGGTGCTGGGTGCATGGGTCCTCATGTTTGCACGGCAAACACTTCACCAGCTAAGCCACTGAGAAATGCTATTATGTGATGAAAATGCTCAGAATAATGGAAAATCTAAGAGCAATGACTGAGAACACTGATTCTATTTGGTGGAAAAGAACATTTCAAAGATTTGGACTCATTGGCAGCAACATCAGGAGCCCACAATTCAGTTCCACTGAGGGAGAAAATTCTATAGTCAGCCTATCTCATTCTACAGAAGGTAGGCTTGAAAATTAGTTACTCCCTTTGCAAAAATATGTGTCATTCTATAGTCTTTTGGGATGGGATGGCAAGCAAATTTAACACTTAGGAGCTAGACTGAAGACTTCAGGGCAGCTTTTTAACCTTAAATCCTTCGGCCCTGAGATCCTTTTAGTTCTAAGCAAAGAAAAGTCACAATCAAAAGCCAAATCAAGATGGCAAAGTCAAAGAGCAGACGTCATCCACCTGAGAGGAAAGACAGGAAGGAGATGGAAAGAGAAAGGAGGAGAAGAAGAACCTATTCAATTGCTCAGATGCCTATCAGAAAATCAAGTTGCTTCTTTAAGAACATGGCCAAGGCCAGTTCCTGCTGCCATGGAGGGAGAAACATTCTGGTGGGGATGTGTAGACTCCCCTCCTTTGATACAAGTCTACCCAGTATACATCTCCACACAATTCCTGAAGAGGAGTCTTTACACTGAGGCCCTTTGAAGGTAACAGACTCACTAGGTAAGAGTGAGTGAAAAGCCCTGGGTGTGCAGGCAGTGGAGTTGGGGGTGATGCAGTTGACTCTGAGATCCTCCTAACTGCACCCATGAGCCCAAAGGGGTGGCACTGGCCTCAGGGAGGACTCAGCCCAGGAGGTGTAAGGGATGACTGACATACTCCCCTCTCCTCCGCAATAGATTCAATTTTTCTTCTAACCTAACTTTCCTCTCCCTCCCTTTAGGTGGGACTCAGCCTTTACGTGAACTTGTTCCTTTGGCAGCTGTCCAGGGCGGATCCTACTGACATCTGAATCACTGCTACTTTCTCTCCTGAGATGTTTGAACAGTTCCACTTGGGTTTTCCGGCACCACCTTCAGGTTTCTCCCGTCTGATGAAGTCTTTCTTTCCGGTGTAGGAGTGGAAAAGGCCCTGCAGAGAATTGTGCCTGTGCCCTTTCTCATGACTGGAGAAATCAGGCTGTGACAGGGTGGCAGGGTGGCACCTCTCGGTCAGAGGAGAGTCAATGTCAGATCTTGTCAAGTGACCAGACTTCCCAGCCATGGCGTTCACTCCTTCAGCAAGTTAGTCTGTCTGGGCAACTTCTACAGTCTCTCTGGTTTCTACCCCAAGAGAAATGAGGCCAACAGTTTTATTTTCTTCTTGGTTTCTCAGGCTGGTATCCGAGACAGGTATAAATTTCAGTTTTGCTCTGAGAGAATTTAAAACAGGTTCAGATGGCCTGGGTGATAAAGAGGAGCTCTAAATAGAAAAAAAATCTTCTCAAATGTGACTTCAGGAAGAGAGAGACTAGTCACATTTTCCTGAAGAAAAGTCCCGACAGCCACTTCACACCTAAAGGGTAAATGCCTGGCACCTGCAGCTCGGGTCACCATGAACCTGCGGCAATATTTTTGTTTGGTGAGTTCATTGATAAAATATCGAAGCTTCCCCCAATAGATCAATCAGCAGACCTGTTGCATCTTTGTAAAATTTTTTTTCTCATCACAGTAAACACAAACAGGTACCTTCTCCAAAAACAACAGTTCTGAGAAGTGGTTCCTGCTGGCCGAGTGGGACCACGTGCCAAGTTTTCTGGGAGCTTCTGGAACAACAGAGTTGGGGTTTTTGTTTTTTTGGTTAAGCAAACAGTTTTGTACAATATACAACTGGCATTTTCCCTACGCCTAGCTCCCTGCCCCCGCATAAAAATAGCTCAGAGTGGGAGTGTCTTGGTTGAGGTCACACAGGGAGTTGGTGGCACAAAAACGAGAACCCACACACCTTCTGCCTGCCCAGCCTCCTAGGGGCCCACTATGGAAAAGACACCAAAGCCCACATATCTGAAGACTGCCTTCCAGCTATGCATCCATTTCTCTCATCGTCCTTGGAGGTCCTGGACCACTGTCCTGTAAAGCCAGCCTGCAAGTAGTACCCAGGCCCACTGTGGCCCACAGGCAGAGATTGGGTACTGCTGACTTGATGATTTTAGGGCTCTGTGGAAAGTTCTGCTGTAGAATTGGTAGCCACTAAACTGTAGAGAGCCTCTGATTCAGTACTCTTATTGTTTCCAATGGGTTGGAGAGGCCCAGAAAGGCATATGGCATAGTATAAGACACATGGTGGGCAACTTCAGAGCAGAGCCAGACACCCAAAATTAATCAGAGCAGGAGAGAGGAACCAACTCCCTCATCGGAGAGTCCCCAAGTCCCTCACTGTCTGTCTCAACAAACATGTCCTCCCAGAGATGGACCCCTTCTTGGGCTATACCTGGTTCTGGATGCATTTGTTTTATTTTATGTGTATGTATTTTGCCTACATATATGCACATGCACCACATATATATATATATATATAATTTAGTTAATTATATATATAATTTAATTAATTTAATATATATATTTTAAAAAGAAAAGAAAAACTAACGAAAAGTAGAGGTGACCAAAGAAGACAAGCAGCATCAACCTCTGACCTCTGTGCATGCACACACACACACACACACACATGTGCATGCATATGTGCACCATGTGTATGTGTATATTCACACACATGCATGCACACACCCAGATAAACACATTTGTACACAGCAAGAGAGACACAGAGATAATGTCATGTGGCATGTTCCACAAAAAGGCTCACGCATTGCAGACTTGTGCCTCTGTTGGTGGCACGTCTGAGAATTCAATGAATCACGAGGGTGCACCACATGGATGCCTGGGACCCAGGGAGACAAGAAGAAGCCATCAGATTCCCCGGAACCAGAGTTATAGATGGTTGTAAGCCACCATACAAGTTCTGTCCAGCTGGGTCTGGGTTCTCTGCAGAGTAACAAGTCCTAGCTACTGACATGTCTTTTCAATCCCAGAGCGTTTTAATGTAAGTTCTCCCATCTGGGACCTCTGTAGCTTGTCCCAGGCTAACCCCAACCCAAGATACTATAGCTGATCCTTTCTCTCCCATCCAGTGTCTTATTACAAACAGCCAGCTTGGGATGGACCGGACATCATGAGTCTCCTAAGCACTTGTCCTTACTAGCTGCTGCCAACTTGGCCTCGAGGATCTCTTGCTGGGGCCCTGATTTACGTTTTAGGGGCATTCTCGGGGGTCTTGTTAACTGCTACTGGGTTTGGTGAGAAGAAGAACAACAGGATTAATCGTCCTCACTGGGACACAGAACTTGTGTGTCCTCTGGGGCTCCCCCACCCACGGAACAATGGCTGGTATCATCACCTAAGGATGGCGTAGATCCGTAGCCCCACATATGTTAATTCTCCATGTAGCTTCCATGCCACATGGTGATGCAATGAGAGAAGGCATGAGGACTCACTCTACATGTGTGAAATGCCCGTGCTCTTGGCTCGTGTGGACAGTGCAGGAACAGGTGTGGCAGATGGAGAGCCATTCAGTTCCCAGGCTTCACTCTCCTTCACTCGCTTGCCTGTTCTCTCTCGTTCACTCCTGCTCTTTCTCGGCTACCTTACGAGTAGCTGGAGTACAACCTCCAGCAGGGAGTCCTTCATGACTTCATCTTCTTTTCTTCTTCTCTGGAGTAACCAGGCCCGGCTGTGAATGCAGCTGTTTTAAGTTATAGAGACCTCTGGCTCATCGGTCACAGTCTTGAGTGAAGCTGGCTTGATTGTGGTGAACGGCAGTGAATGGGGTGGCCTGGCATCCTGGCCATTATGATCTGTGCACTGGGCTGCTCAGAGGAGGGAACAAAGCAAGGTTGCCTCATGGAAGACATCTTACCAAGTTAAAAAATACACGCAGATGTTGAGAGCTTTGCAGGCCCGCAAGATCAGCCAAGAGGGTGGGGAGCTTGGGAGGAGTGCTAGACAGATAGATGTTTGTTTGGAATACAATGTGTGTGTCTTCTGTTACCAAACATGACCTTATGTAGTCCATGCTGGCCCAAAACTGACTATGCAGTTGAAGATGACCTTGAACACCTGATCTTTCTACCTCTGCCTCCCAAGTGATGGGACAGATGTGTGTTTCCTTATTCCCTTCCTCCCTCCTTTTCTTCTGCCCTTTCTCTCTCCCTCTCTGTCTCTGTGTGTGTGTGTCTCTCTGTCCCTCTCTCCGTGTGTATCTGTCTCTCTGTCTGTCTCTCTGTCTCTCTGTCTCTCTGTCTCTCTCTCTCTCTCTCCCCCCCCCCCAGCATGTCCCTATATAGCTCAGGCTTGCCTATTACTACCATACCCTGGGCTGGCCTTGATCTCTGGATCCTTCTGCCACAATCTCCACAGTGCTTAGGTTAGAGGCCTATACTGCCACACCTGACTGGCTATGATGCCGTTGAGGACTGGGGGAGAATCTGAAAAGATGAGGTAAAGGTGGCCAAGAAGCCAGAAAAAAGGGTCTCTAATTCCAAACTTAGGGGAACTCAGTGTGGGGATGTTGGAAACTGACACTGTCTGGTTTTGTGTGTCAACTTGACACAAGTTAGAGACATCAGAGAGAAAGGAGTCTCAGTTGAGGAAATGCCTCAATGACATCCAGTTGTAAGGCATTTTCTCAATAGTGATCAATGGGGGGAGGGTCCAGCCCATTGTGGATGAGGCCATCCCTGGGCTGGTGGTCCTGGGTTCAAGTCACGAGGAGCAAGCCAGTAAGCAGCATCCTTCCACGGCCTCTGCATCAGCTCCTGCCTCCAGGCTCCTGCCCTGCTTGGGTTCCTGTCCTGACTTCCTTTGGTGATGAGCAGCAATGCGGAAGGGAAAGACAAGTAAACCCTTCCCTCTCCAACTTGCTTTTAGGTCATGGTGTTTCGTCTCAGCAATAGAAACCCTAACTAAGATGGAGTCAGTCCCATCCTTAGCAACCCTACCAGCTACAGGTACCAAGGCTCGTGGCTTTTGTAGTAAGAAGAGTGGGTGAGACCAGGAGAGGCTGCAAGCAGGAAGACTGGCAGGATGCATGGCGGTGAACAGTGGGACAGGAACACAGCTGGTCTCAGGCAGTGCTTGCAGAGTCAGCAACTGTTCCCTAGTATCACATACTTAATTTAATATGCGCAGAATTAATTTTGCTGTATAATATGATTTCTGGGACTAGGAAGATAGCTTCGTTGGTAAAGTAATTACCGTGCAAACATGAGGGCCTGAGTTTGGGTCCGTAGCACCTATGCAAGAGCTGAGCACAGAAGAGTATGTCTGTAACCCCAGCACTGACAAGAGGGAGAGCACAGACACGGGTGGATTCTTGCAGTTCATTGGCCAAATTCAGTACTCCAGGCTCAGTGAAAGGCCTCATCTGAAAAAACAAACAAACAAACAAAAAACCAACTAGGGAGGGGAGCAAAGAAAAAAAATATATATATATATTAAAAAAGAAAAGAAAAACTAATGATAATAAAGTAGAGGTGACCAAAGAAGACACCCAACATCAACATCTGACCTCTGCGTGTGCACGCGTGCACACACACACACACACACACACGTATGCATGCATATGTGCACCATGTGTATGTGTATATTCACACACACGCGTGCACACACCCAGTTAAACACATTTGTACACAGCAAGAGAGACACAGAGATAATGTTATGTGGCATGTTCCACAAAAAGGCTCACACATGGCAGGTTTGTGTCTCTGTTGGTGGCGCGTCTGAGAATTCAATGGATCATGAGGGTGCCAACCTCGTCAACAGGTTAATCCATTGGCACTCTTGTGACTGAATAGGTATTTAGGAGGTGATACCAGGTCAGAGGAAGAAGCCCACTGGGTGCAGTTAGTATGCCTTAGATGGGGATATCTCATTCCCAGATCACTGGCCCACGTCTCTTGGATACGGTCAAGTGAGCAGCTTTGTTCTGCCATATCCTTCCCCCCATGACACCCTGCTTTCCCACAGGCCCACAGTGATGACCATGTGCCAGATGACCATGCACCAAAGCCACTGAAGCCATGAGCCGAAATAAATTTTCCCTTCTTAAGTTCTTGGAACTTAAGTTACAGTGGTGGAAAGCTGATTAAGACACCTTGTTTCACAGGTAAGGAAGGTCAGAGAGGCGAAGTAGCCAAACCTGCCAGGGTCTTTCTGATGGGCCAGTAGTGTGTTGTTGTTAGAGTTTAATCCATCGAGAATATCTGTGCCCTTTAACCATCAAGGATTGGAGACTGCGTGAAGAAACGGGGAGCTGATTGTGGAAAGACAGACAGCATCGACACTGAGTAAGACGGAGGACATGGTAGCGGGTAGCAGGCAGCGAAAATGGAATGGAGTGTTTAAGCTTGGGATAACTGCATTTGGGGAGCCTGGGGGATAGCCATGGCTCGGGAGAGAGCACTGAGATGCAGGTCATAACCCTGAGGCTGAGACGGGCAAGAAACATCTATAAACAACAATGAGAAACACAGACAGAGGGGAGGGTGCCGTAAGTGGAGAGGTGCCAGCCAAGTTGAGTGTCAATGAACATTGCACAGTCCTGATAGAGCCAACCACGGGGGCACACATTTGTAATCCCAGCACCCAGCAGGCTGACTCAAGAGGATTTAGCGTTCAAAATCAGCCTGGCTACATAACAAGTTCAAGGTCAGCTTGAGCTTCAATCAAGGCCCTTAACCATCAACCAACCAGTAAACAAAACACTACTTTGGGGGGGGTGCAGAAGGATGGGATCTGAATGAGCCTGTGAGATTCAGCAAAGAGGCCACTGGTGACCTCAGCGTGAGGTTCAGTAGTGAAGAAGCTTTGCAAGTTGATCAAGAGGAAAGAAATTAGGTAACACCTTCCAGATATCTGACTGGGATCAGAAGTATCTAAGGACACCCTAGTTGCTATATCAAAAGACTTCAACCTGGGTGATTGATAGGAGCTCAAGGTTAAGGATCAGCAGATTCCTCCATTTCTGCTTCATAAATGTCCTCTCCGAGCTGGGTCTTTGCATGGTGGAGGCCAGACAATCTGGCCTCCTGGCGCTTTTATAAGGCACTGTTCCACCTATAAGGGTTCTGCTCTTAGGACCTAATTGCTCTTCCCACTGACACACTGGAGCCTCGGGTTCTGTGTCTGACCTTGTGGGGAATACTTTGGGGCTGAAGGTTGGTGCGATGGTTATGCTTGGTTGGCAGCTTATCTGCATCTGGAATTAACCAGAACCCAGATGACTGGATACACCTATGAGAGATTTTTTTCTTAATTAAATCCTTTGAAATGGGAAGACCCACTTTTAATTCGGATCTCTGAGATGGGAAGATGCATCTTTAATCCAGGCTTTTGTGGTGGGAAAACCTACCTTTAATCTGGGCCACATCTTCTGCTGGTAGCATATATATAAAGGACAGGGAAGGAGGAGGCTTGCTCTCTTTGCCCGCTTGCTCTTGCCCTGGCTCACAAGTCCATTCCTTCACTGGCATTAGAACCCATTTCTTCAGGATTCTGGTGTGCACTGAAGACCAGCTGAGACATCCAGCCTCATGGGCTGAATGACTATTGGATTCTTGGACCTTCGGTTGTTATTCAGCCATTGTCAGACTTGCTGGATCACAGCCTGTAAGCCATTCTAATAAATCCCCTTTCTGGTGTTTGTTGGTGGGGAACCATGAGTAGAAGGTGAAGCGGGGTGGGGCGGGGTTGTCAATTTCTTTCCTTGTTGCAGTGGCAAGTACTTTAATAGGAAGGAAGGAAGGAAGGAAGGAAGGAAGGAAGGAAGGAAGGAAGGAAGGAAGGAAGAAAGGAAGAATCTGGGCTCTCAGCTTGTGGGTACAGTCATTCATGGTGGGGAAGGCATGGCACAGGAGCATGAGGCAGCTGGTTCCTCTGCCCCTACTATCAGGAAGCAGAGAGCAATGGATGCTGAAAATTAGTTGACTTTCTCTAGTTTAAGCAATCTGAGACCCAGGAAATGATATTGTCCACATTTAGGATAGGTAGATCTTCCCGCGTGAATTAACTCAGTCTAGACATTCCCTTGTGACAGAGCCTAGTCTCCTGAGTGACTTGTTAACAGAATCTATCAAGTCAACAGTATTAGACATTGCTGAGAAGAAGGGATGGTGGGCAGAGCCTAAGAGCTCTGAACCTAGGCTCTGGGCTCCAGACAAGGTGGGGAAGGGCAGGCAAAAGCAGAGAGAGAGAACTAAAGGGTGCCTTGCGAGCTGGGGTGAGGGTTAGTGACTTCAAAACCTGAGTGTGATCTGTGGCTGTAAGGCACATTTGATCACTACTCAGTGGGCCTAGGGTCAACAGGGGGAACCAGGCTCAGATCTCGGTGCTGGGGTGACTGAGACCCAAGCCATTTGATCATCTATTTCCTTCACTATACAACAAAGAACTGTCTATCGAGTGAGGGTTTCCGAAGTGTTAACTATAGATGATATAGTGCATGCTAAAAAGACGTGAAAGGCACAAGCAGACACCACAAACACACCCGTGTTGCGCAATCCCCGTCCCTCTCCTCCAGGACCATAGGAGGTCCACATGCTCACTGTCCCTTCTCTCCCTCCCTGTGAAAGAGTCACACAACAGGACCATGTGCACACTCAAATCAGAAAATACCCTGGGGGCCAGAGACAGGACTCAGAGTGTAAAGGCACCTGCTGCCAAGCCTGCGACCTGAGTTCAATCCCTGGAACCTATATGGTGAAGGAAAAGAACCAAATCCCATGAGTTTTTCTTCCATATGTGTGTGTATGCACACACACACACACACACACACACACACACACACACACACACAC